CTGTTTCAGACTAAATTCTGCTTTTTCTGATTAAAAAGTGACCAGTTAGCTGCCTAAGTGACACATTGCTTGTGGACTGGACACTTGTTCAAAATGATGTGTTGTGACTGGAGTTCTTCTCAGTATGCTCCAACAACACTGAAGAACAGAGGCAGCCATTTGAGTCCACACAGCAGCACAAACGCAGACTATTGAATTTATATTTCCTACTAGTACGACAAGCAATTGAACAGGAAAGGCAACTGAAGCAGCAAAATCATCATAATGAGGAGATAACCAGAGGACATTTTTTGGGGTGGGTGTGTGCTTTTAACCTATAAAATGTGTACAAACATTCTCATGTATTTGCCACCACACTCATATACTGTACTCTTGGATATACTCTCAATTGCATACATTCTTGGGCACATGCATTTTTCAACACAGATACATTTTCTCACAGACTCTATATGCACATGTGCGTACAGAATTCTCTCTCTGTGTGTGTGCTCTTCCCCTTCTTACTCATTAGCATAAAATTCTCACTTCTCTCTCCTGATTTCTCATGTATATTTTGTTCTTACAATACACTTTTGCTCTTACAACAAACACTTTTTCCATTGCTCACTTTGCTTCCCCATATCTGACAGCATTTGCATTTGCATGCACTTTGTCCCCTTCTGCACAGCTCCTGTGGTGCTGGGACTTGTGCCCTAGGCTCGCTATGTTTGCCACTGCAACTCTATGCTGCCTGCAGGAGATAGATATGCCCCTTTCTCCATCCCTTGGCAGCAGTCATCTCTTCTCCTGGTTTTTTCAGCACTTGTAACATGCAGATATACCATCCTCCCTAGCATCAGGCACTGCTGGACACAAAGCAGAGGTACTGTATAATGCTGTCTGTTTCTTATGAAGGCTCTTCCCAGCCATTGAGACGCTGATGCATTTGCTGAATTTGAGTAGTTGCTAATCTGTCATGTTAGTATGTTGCTGTAGCTGCTCATGTCTTTGGTCCATAGATGGGTCAGTCAACTCATTTCTGGAATTTGTGCTGGTAGTATGAGAAATTTTCTTTCACATATATATTTCCTTATTCTGGATGTGTGCCAGTTAAGAAGTCATATGCATGGGCCCATTTGCGGGTGACTTTCCTGTTCAGGAAGGATATATTAGGTTCTTCATTGATCCTTTATTCAGGCACATGGAGCTTTTCTGCCTGTCTGATCTGTTTCCTGTCATCTGAAGCATACAGTTTTATTTAGTGTAGAGTCAAACGATGGCAGTGACACAAGTGCACTGTTGCGTATCTGAGTGAAGGAGATCCTGCAGAAGATAACTCATGGTGCATTTAAAAATAAACAATACTGGTCTGCTTGGTAAAAAGTCAAACTAACTCATGAAAATGTGTAATACAGTGGTGCCTCGCTTGACGAGGATAATTCATTCCGTTTAAATCGCTGTTAAGCAAAATCCTCATCAAGCGAAATTAAAAAACCCATTTACATGCATTGAAAACCGTTTCAATGCATTCCAATGGGTGGCATACCTGCTCCTCTTACGAAGATCCTCCATAGGGTGGCCATTTTCCGGTGCCTGTAAAGCGAGGAATCCGTTCTAAAGCACAGTGGGGAGCCATTTTGCACAGTGGGTGACCATTTTAAAGCCGCCGATCAGCTGTTTTAAAATAGTTGTCTAGCGAAAAATCGGTTCCCGAAGCAGGGAACCGATCATCGTTAAGCAAACATCATTTTGCAATCGCAAAAACTTCATCGTCAAGCGGTTTCATCATTTAAGAAGGTAATCGTTAAGTGAGGCACCACTGTATTTTAATTGAAATATTCAGGAATGTAGAAGTTTTGTGCTGGATGTTTATGTTTGGCAGCTAAATCATTGGAGTGTTATAAACTTTCTTGTCCTTATGTCAGACCCTTAGTGATTATAATGGTCAGCATTTTTATTTTTAATATTTGATTGGAAACATTACAGTCTTTTAACATTTTAAAATAAGTAATGGCTATTTAAGGTAATGAAGTTTCCCCTAATTCATTAATTTCTAATATGTACTTGGGCTCTTCTAAGACTCTTGGTGACCAGAATTTTGTTGGATTCTTCCAGTATAAGCAGGCAATTATACCAGAAAGCCTTCCTACACTGCAGACTGGGTGCTGCACTCCCGTTTGCTTGCTTCAGAGAAACAGCTGTGTGCAGAAGGGAAAACCAACTGTGTGTGTGCCCTTGGACACACATTTGTTCTGAGTAGCATTTTGGCTTCTAAAGCCCGATGCTCTTACACAGTTTCAGGACTTGCATTCTCGGGAGCACTTCCATGTGAAAAAAAGCCACAGTGTGTAAGTGGTGATGTAGACACTGTATTTGCTCTTGATGCCCTTTGGGGGATTATTTCATGTAACCACATTCATGAGGATAAAAATGTTTGCCTCAGGATAAATGTTGTAAAAGGGTAAAATGCATCTCAATTTGCTGAATGTTTTTCTTTTATGTTTTTGAAAATGAATCTAAGTGCAGTCTATTTTTTGCTTAGTTCAAATAATTCCTGAAGCAATATTTTGATATTTTCAGTAAACTGACTTCAGAGGACAGACCAGAGTCCATGGAGCAGCATATAGGCATGTGAATAAGAAAGTACACCCTCTTTGAATTCTCTGGTTTTACATCTCAGGACATACTAAAAACCATCTTGTCCTTAGCAGGTCTGAAAATTAGGCAAATACAACCTCATGTGAACAAAAACACATGCCATACTACACCAGTCATGATTTCTTTAACAAAAATAAAGCCAAAATGGAGTGGCCATGTGTGAAAAATTAAGTACACCCTATGATTCCATAGCTTGTAGAACCACAATAACTTTAAGTAGTTGTTTTCTGCATGTATTCTCGAAGGCTTTCATGGCCGGGATCTGATGGTTGTTGTGGGTTTTTCGGGCTCTTTGGCCGTGTTCTGAAGGTTGTTCTTCCTAACGTTTCGCCAGTCGCTGTGGCCGGCATCTTCAGAGGACTGGAGTCGGAACTCTGTCCATGCTCTGTTGCTGTTTGTTGGATAGTTGAGTATTTATACCTGTGGGAACAGCTTTTGTCCTTTTCAGGAGATAGGCTGATCAGCGTGTTTTTGTTGTGGATGTATTGTTGTGATAAGTGGGAGAGATTATCTGTCACTGTGGTTGATGGGTGTCTTTAGCTGGTCTCTTTTGTGCAATGATCTCTGGTCCTTGTGGCTGGGGAGAGTTTGTTGACCTTCTGCAGGCTGTATTTTCCAGTGATGGAAACTGAGCTTCACAGTTCCGATTTGCACGGTCTACCAGTGTTTTGATTATGCCTCTTTTTGTTGTGGGTGGTGGTTGAAATTTTTGTGTAGGTACTGGTCTGTGTGGGTGGGTTTTCTGTAGACCTTGCATTTCAATAGGTCAGTTTTCCGTGTGTTTTCTGTATGACTTTATCAGTATCTCACATTATTGTGGAGGAATTTGGGCCCACTCTTCTTTACAACATGGCTTCGGTTCATTGAGGTTTGTGGGCATTTGTTTATGGAAGGCTCTCTTAAGGTCCCACCACAGCATTTGAATTGGGCCATATGAAACACAGCCCAGTTGAGTTTCAAATGCAGTTTGTCATCAAGAAGAGTGGGTAGGCAGCTGTTCATAGGAAATACCATAGCACTTTTGCTCAAGATATCATTTTCGGTTGTTACTAGAGATGGGGGTATTTGTATTCATGTATGAATATCCTCGCAGAGCTGAACTTAATGAGGGTCACCCCCCCCAAAGGCTGGACCATCCACTCATGCATCCTGCTGTGACAGTGGCCCCACTCATCCTTCCAACTCTCTTCCTGCTTGGCTGGCGGGGGGGGGGACAAGTCTCCCTGCACGGCTGATGATTGGCCAGCCAAATGGGAAGGATGGCAGGACGCATGAGTGGATGGCCCGGCCCCAGGGGCTGGACCCTTGTTAAGTCCAGCTGTGCAGGGATGTTCATATTTATATATGAATACCCCCATCCCTAGTTGTGACTCAGGAATAACCCTCCAATTGTCACATATGGAAGAGGCTGGTTCCTCTGGGGCAGGTGGAATGGGAAATAAAATCGCCTTACTATATCTTAGAGTGGAGGTGACAGCAAGGGAGATCTCTGCAGACATTCAAGTAACAGTTGACCTTTGTAGCAAAGAATCACATGGATGATAAATTTTGGAGCATGCCGAGTATGCCGTTAGTCCTGTAAAACCCTCCCCAGCCTGAAATTGCAGTTTTTATGATTCCTTGGAAAGTACAGCAGTTAAACATGTCTGGTTAGTCTGGATGTTGTGTTAATTCTAGCTATTTATGCTTCAGTGGTTTAAATACACTCAGCTAAGTGGGAGAGGACAGACCCAGCATCAATTAATGGTTAGAGTGATGCACTGGGACTCAGGCGGTCCGGGTTTGAAACCTCACTCAGCCATGGGAACTGAAGGGTGTGTGGAACTGGTAAAACCACTCTTTAAATATCTCACTTACTTTGAAAGAGTTGCTGTAATTCACTTCCAATTTGATGGCACACAACAGACAGAACTGGGAGTGGAGTGGGCTTCAGTGTACCTTTAATGGTAGTTGCTGGGGAATATGAGCAGGATGGTGCTGTTTCCTGTGTTCTACTTGTACACTTCCTACAAGTTTCAAGTGGAAACAGAATGCTGGACTTAATAGGTCTGTTGTCTCATTGAGCATACTGCTTCTTATATTCTTAAAAGGTTACATAAATTCCACTTGTTCCCAGGTTGCTGTGTTTGTTTGAGGATAAAGGAAAACAGATACTGTAATTAAAATTCAATCTCTGAGCAACATTAAGGGGAAATCATTGATTTTCTGTATTTGGTAGTTCTCTAACCTTGATACAATTTCTGATTATTAATTTCACCAGTGTTTACTTTATTGAGAGGGGGTGGGGATATATGAAATGTAAATGTTTTTGAAAATGTTGAAAGCAGAGTCCTTCAGTTGTAATGTCCATTTCCTTACTAAAGCTGAACTTGATGCAGAACACACTCAAAAGGTGCTGGATATGGAGCACACCCAGCAGCTGAAGTTAAAGGAGCGGCAGAAATTCTTTGAAGAAGCTTTCCAGCAGGACATGGAGCAGTACCTGTCTACAGGTTATCTGCAAGTAGCTGAAAGGCGAGGTAAGGGTTGAAATTTGTTTGTGATTCTTCAGGTCTGTAATACTTGGCCTAAATTGCAATAGGAAACTTGTGTAGCCATTGTAACACTCTGCTGCTGGTTTTAAGCTGATTTCATGTGTAGGTCTGTATTCTACACTTCCTTTAGGTAATTTGAAGCGGTGGACATGCCCTGCCATTTCTCCCTTCCAAGCAATGAAATCAACATAGATTTGACCATACAGTATCAGAATGTGTTCTGAAACACAGAGCTATCCTAGCAGCAAAAATAGTGTGACAACAGTAGAGGCAATACAAAGTAATACTTTGGATTTCCCTACCTGTCTTGTAGAATGAGACAGTTGTAAAGTTGGAAGGGAAGCCACAGGACATCTAACCCAGCTCCCTGTCAATGCATGAAATTCACAAATAAAGCTGCCCTGGCAGAGGGTTGCCCAAACTCTGTTTGGAAGCCTCTAATGAGGGAGAGTATATCATCTTATAAAGTAGTCCCTTTCACTGTCCAAGTTTTAAGAAACCTCACGTTGTATTGTTTGGGTGACGGCAAGTCTTGATAGTTGTTGGGTACTGATACAGTGTCAATAATAAATTGACTATTTGTGTTTAAAATATCAGAGCCTGCCTATTCAGAAAAACACACAGTCTTTGGATATTGTGACTGGTATAATCAGTTTAGTTCCTGTGAATGTATTTTGACATCTGTAGAGACATATGTGAGTAAACTTGCTAGTTCACAGATTTATCTTTTTCCTGATTGCAGAGCCGATAGGAAGCATGTCTTCTATGGAAGTGAACGTGGACATGTTGGAACAAATGGACCTTGTGGACATGTCTGACCAAGAAGCCTTAGATGTCTTTCTCAATTCTGGAGGAGAGGATAGCGCTATGCCATCACCTCTGATAGGTAGAAAATGAGCTGCATGGTGGATTTAAACAAAGGATTTTTAAAATTAAAATAAAGAAAGACCCCTCCCAGGCTGTCCTTTGTCATGGGCTAGCCCTTTCTCCCCTGTAAGGGTTGATCTGCTGGTTATTAATTTTTGGTAGGTCTGTTGTTTTAACCTTACACCTGCAACATAAAATATTATGTAGGGCTTCTACCACCACTTTTTGTGGTTTCTTTACAGCTAATTCAGAACAATCAGTGCATATGTGGAGATTAAGATGTACTGTATATACATTTTGTTTACACAGCACCCTTAATAGGTGCTTGGGATTTAAGAATTCTGAATGTGATCTTGTGTACTTCAGTAAGTATAATCCCAGTATCTGTTTCTTGCTTCCCTTTATTGTGTGAACTGTTTATTTATTTTCCTTCCTGTGGACTTTTTAAAATACTTCCCAAGATAGGATGTCCACCTCAACTCATTAATATCATCAGGTCCTTTCATGAGGAAATGAAGGGCACTGTAGTTTTTGATGGCTCAACATCAGATCCCTTTGACATCCAAAGCGGAGTAAAACAAGGCTGTGTCCTTGCGCCGACCCTGTTTGGGATCTTCTTTGCTGTCATGCTGAAGCAGGTCTTTGGAACTGCAACAGAAGGTGTCTATCTCCGGACTAGATCAGATGGAAAGCTCTTTAATCTCACTAGATTGAGAGCGAAGACCAAAGTCCAACTGAAATGCATGCGGGACTTCCTCTTTGCTGATGATGCAGCCATTGTTGCCCACTCTGCTGAAGACCTCCAACAACTCATAAATCATTTTAGCAAGGCCTGCCAAGACTTTGGACTAACTATCAGCCTGAAGAAAACACAAGTCATGTGCCAGGGCGTGGACTCACCTCCCTCTATTACTATCTCCATGCAAGAACTGGAGGTTGTTCATGAATTTGTGTACCTTGGCTCAACAATCTCTGACACTCTCTCCCTAGATGTCGAGCTGGATAAACGCATTGGGAAAGCAGCTACCATGTTCTCTAGACTCACAAAGAGAGTATGGCTTAACAAGAAGTTGACGGCATACACCAAAATACAGGTCTATAGAGCCTGTGTCCTGAGCACACTCCTATACTCCAGCGAGTCCTGGTCCCTTTGGGCACGGCAGGAGAGGAAGCTGAACACCTTCCATATGTATTGCCTCCGACACATTTTTGGTATCACCTGGCAGGACAAAGTTCCAAATAGAGTAGTCCTAGAACGAGCTGGAATTTTCAGCATGTATACAATATTGAAACAGCGCCGTCTACGTTGGCTTGGGCACGTCGTGAGAATGGCTGATGGTCGGATTCCAAAAGATCTCCTGTATGGAGAATTAGTGCAGGGAAGCCGCCCCCGAGGGAGACCACAGCTGCGTTACAAGGACATCTGCAAGCGGGATCTGAAGGCCTTAGGAATGGACCTCAACAGATGGGAAACCTTGACATCTGAGCATTCAGCCTGGAGGCAGGCGGTGCATCATGGCCTCTCCCAATTTGAAGAGACACTTGTACAGCAGACCGAGGCAAAGAGGCAGTCCCGAAACAAGCAAAACCAGGGAGCTGGACAGGGAACAGATTGGATTTGTCTCCAGTGTGGAAGGGATTGTCACTCTCGAATTGGCCTTCTCAGCCACACAAGACACTGTTCCAAGACCTCCATACAGAGCACGATACCATAGTCTCTCGAGACTGAAGGATGCCTACAACTAACCCAATTTGAGCCTCATCAATTCAAGAGATTCTATTCAGGGTCTCTATCTTCAGGTGACATACCTTTCTAACAGAGTTATCAGGGCCTTCTCTGTTGTAGCACTAGCTTGTTATATAAAAATTGCCATCGGACAGTGTTATCACATGAAAACATAGAATAAAATACTTATGAAATGTGAGGGGGCGTACTCACTTCTGTGATATACTGTTTATCACTAAAATCAAGATGTATTTTTGCACCTAGTACATGCTGCCATATTCATGAGAGGAAGATAAACAGATATGCTCCAGCTGATTCAGAAGTATTAGTAATTTCTCTGCTACTGTATCTGGTCAAACAACACACATGGACGGTGCACATAACCTATTTTGACCTCCCATTTTTTTTTTTTTTGATTGAAGAAGCACTGCAGAGGAGGATGGGGGGGATTAGAGGGAGATAACAGAGACAGTGTTCCTTTCTCTTCATGATTTTCTCACTGGATTTCTGTCATCCCCCCCCCAAACACCACTTGCTACTATTGCATAGTTGGATGCAAGATGTAGTTTGGCCCCTATAATTTTCAGTTAATCTGGATAAGGTGCGTGCTCTCATCCTATCTTTAGATGTTGCTGTCTCAAGCCCCTCTTCCCCACTAAAATGTGGATTCCTCAGTTTTCATGACTTTGTAAAAACATTTCAGTTGTCCCTGACACCATTTTCACATGGATGTGTCATTACTGTAGGTGAGGTTTCATTTAGGTTAATATAGATGTTACTTCAAATGTATCATGGGAAACAACTCATAATTTCTGTTGCATAAGATTGTACACTGTGATTTATGTTCCTGCCTATCCAATAAATTTAAATCTGTGTGCATACAGTATATAAATGTCAAAATACACTGCGACAATGAAAACTTTGTTCAGTTCTTCCTCCATCCCGCTTTTGTGATGAAGGAGCCCTTAGAGAAACTCTGGTTTTCATAATGAGAAAATATTATCCCAACTGGTTTTGTTCCATAGTTGAATAGAATAATTTACAAGTCCAGTTTTCTTGTACACAATCTTAAGAGACTTAAATTAGTTATTATGCATTAAGCAAGCTAGGCTCAAGGATACTTTCATACAACTATATATAATACAACGTCCAAACCGTGAACACATTTGCTAATAATCCAGAACTCCTTCATGCTTGCACATCCAACACCCCGAGAAATTGAGTGCCATTTTTAGAGTATATATTCAAATGTTTTATTGCTTTTCTCAACTCTTCTGTACAAAATACACAAGGGAATATGTCAGACTTCTAATTTTTCTAATAAAGTGAGTTTTCAAATAAAAGGGTAAATACATTCATGATATAATGACTTGTCACTCAACTTCTATCACTTATGTAAACCATTTTCCTCTCATTATTTTGAAGGGTCAGATTCCAGCACTTGTCAAAATGAAATCAGTCTGCAAGTTCCCCCTCAGTCGGATATAAAGGAGTTGTCTTCCTCAGCGCCAGCCTGGACTGATCCTGCCAGCCAAGATGTCAGTGAAGGAGAATCGCCTGTGATCCAGTCAGATGAGGAAGATGTGCAAGTGGACACTGCCCTTGTTGCTGTAAATACAGAAATGAAAGGTCCTTCTGATGTTAGTGATGAGAGCGATTCACAAACAAATTGAATCTTATAAGAGTGTGCTATAGGAATTAGGACCCTGGAGTATATGAATGAAAAAATGATTGAGCTTGTCTGTGATTACTGTTATGATCTATCGTGAAAGAAATTGCCATACATAAAATTCAGGTTTGAGTCATGTGAAATGCTAATTTGTATTTTTAAAAAGGAAGGAAACAAGAAAAAAAAGCACTGAATTAGCAATAAAATATTGGCTTGTGAACAGTAAATCCTGTATATAGAGGGCTATCCAAAGAAAAATTCATGAAACATTTTATTTTAACTTTCTTAAGGGAAATATACTGAAGCCATGTTTATTCATTGTAGTCACAATGTATGTGTTTTCATTGTTGTGGCTAAAGACTGATAAAATATCTGCACCTTTAAGGTTCTAGCAGTAGAAAAATGGCCTCCGATGTTTTATCTTCTTCAGGATGTAAAAAATGAATCCAAATTACTGTAGAGCAAGAATGTGGGATTGTACTGGCTCCTACAGAGTGGATTTTCTTTTTGTTACTGAAATAGAGTGTTCTACATACCTAAAAATGAAGAAGTGAAGTGGGAAATTAATTACAATGTACTCTATTAGGTATTATACAGTGATAGCAGCTGCCAAATATCCATTTTAGCTTGTTCTGGTAGCATAGCAAATTATGCCATCTTCCTGTCACTGGTTTAGCCTATTTAAAGATGGATATTCTTACTTGAATGAATAAGAAAGACACATGGGAAAGGTTCTGCTTATCTCTTTCATAATTTTATCCTACCCCTGACCAATGTGACTGCATTAGAGGGCAAAAGATTGAAGAACTATCCTATCCTAACAAGTTCAAGACAATGTTTGGACTTACTGTGCGATCTCTGCTAGTATAGCACTAATCCAACAAACTGTTTAGTACTGCCCGTTATATATATTGAACTTGGGGCTTTTTCTACATTGGTAGCTATTCCCTTACTAGTGATTGTTACAGGAGTCACTTCAGCTGCTTAGCATAGTTTAAACAAAGAGCTCTGTGTAAAACAGAGGCCATAGGAAGTATAAGAGCAGAGGGGATAGTGAAAAGTGTTCACCATTCATAATTCACCTGAGAATCAGATTCAAGAGCGTAGTGCAGACAATTAGGAATGTTGAACCTTCCAGATGGGGTTGGCCTGTTGTGGCTCTCTGATTAACCCTACCAGTATAGCAAATGGTAAGGGAAGAAGGCCACATGTTCTCCATGCCATATCTACTTTATTGGTAACATATTTCTCTGTCAGTGAGAACCAGTGATGACTGCTCCATGTTACCTCCTTTTGCTAACCTAACAGAATGAGCCCATATTAGGGAATAGTTATCTTTTAACTATTTAATCTCTACTACTCTTTCAGAAGAAAGACAATGTGTCCAAAAAGTGTGTTTTTATTAAACCTTGTAGTACAAACCTGAAAAGTAAACAAAAACTGGCAATAAACATGTCTTTCCTCACAAGGAAAGCAAGCAGAGCAGTGCTAATAAATTAAATGTCAAACTGTAAGCCATAGTCAGAAGTTTACTGTCAAGAAGGAAAAAAATACACAGCAAGGCCATAAAAACCAGACAACCACATTGGAAAACACTCGACTCTGTATGTTATTGTTAAATATTCCAAAACATTTCAGTCTTCTGCAACAACCAACAATATGTATTTTATAAGACTTTCCTGACAGTCACTCACCACTGGCAAGCTCAGTGCAATATGGGTAGCTCTACGGTCTTGTTGAATTCAATTATGAAACAAGAGTTTGTGAAAACATTTTCCCTTTTTTATTCCACACATACTGTACACACAACTGGAAAAGGGCAACAACTACTCCATTATTATTTTTGTTGTTGTTCAGTGATGTAAGCAGCACTTATAAATGTTACAAGAAAAACCCTGTAAGCATCCAATCCAACCGATGAAGAAAGTGAAACGTAAGGCTTTTCTTCATCTTGTCTCTTTGCCACCCTTCCCCACCCTCCCAAGAAAAGGCTCAAGTATTTAAAACAATTTACAGGTTTATGTACAAAAGGTATGATTTCTTTTTGTTACAACATGAAGAAGAAAAAAAATAGACAAGATGAGAGCAAATGCATTTTTCACATTCAAAACAAATATGCAAGTCTGCTAGTGGCTCTAAATGTGATCATATAACAAAAACAAAATTAATGCTGACTGTGAAAAGGTATGAAAGAAACAGCAGTGGAATGGAAATGGAATGTTAAAGATTGCACGTCTATGACAAGAAGCACTTATGGCTTCAATCATTTTTTAAAGGATGCTATTGAAGGGTTTTTGATAAAGTAGCCAACAGCACCAAAAAAATAACAGAATGGATTTCCTAATGAAATCAGGCACAGTTTTCGCTCACATGACTCCTCAAGGTAGGCAGTCTTTTTCTTCTCTTTCTTCTCCTCCTCGAACAGATGCATAGTGAAGTGCTGGTAACAGAGAACATTTTCTCCAAATCTCCCATTTTGCCTAGGGTTAGAAAACTAAATCCATCTTCAGCTGCCATAACCTCTTAAATAAAATCGTGTATTCTCCAATTTAAAAAGGTACAAAACTTATCCTGCCTGTTACAGAATACAAGCCAGAAGTATAGCAATTTCTTTCAAGTTTTGTCTCCTATCCCTTTTCTCTCTATAGAAAAAAAATCTGCTGACATGACTGGAGAACAAATTATAAACACGCCAAACTTCAACCTATAAAAAAAACTGGGAGGGGGATAAAAGCCTTTTTTACAGTTACTGACAGAAAAGGCTTTTTAATTTCAGGCAGAGGGACAAAATATAAATGAATTTTATCAGCCCCTCTCTGCTTTTAAAACAGTGAACATACAGCAGGTTAAAAAAAACCTGCTATATCTAACTATCCTAAGTAAAAAATAAAATAAAAATAAAATTCAACAGTTTAATGCTAAAACAAAATTAGTTCTCTAAAACCAGAAGAAAATCTTCTTTAGAGCTAGTGCAAAGACAGCTTGTATTCTACAGCAAGTACTCCAAACTATGATATAATAATTACAAAATATATATATAAAATTGACAAAAATGAGAGAGTGTGTTGGCATCTTCATGATTAACTTGAAGCACTTTTGGATGAACTGGAGGATGAAAGTCTTGATGGCACGTCAACTGTTGCTCTTTTCCGAGGTCCTCTTTTTGGTGTAGGCTTGCTGATACAGTTCTCAATGGTGCCATTTTTGCCAGATACTTTTCCACAAATTTGATTGACTAAACTGATTATTTGTTCCTGTTTGCCAAGGAGAAATAATGAAAGAATCAATATTTTCACTGCCTTTTAAAGAATAAACTTTAGATGTCAAGCAACAAATGCAGGGCCACATTTCAGTGAGTAACAGCATTTGCAGTAATGGCTGGATTCAGGTGTAACATTTACTTGTGTTTCAGCACGACATGAATCTTCCTCACCCCTTCCAGTGCAGTCACAAGGAGATCAAAAAGTTTTCTTTTTCTTTTTAACCGACTGCAGTTTAGTATTACATCCAAACACAGACAGTTAACCTTGTCCTATTTCAGTGAATCATAGTTATGATTAACAACAATTTAGGGACTTGAAGAAACACTAAGCTGCAGAAGAAATGAATGGGGAACACAAAAGCCCAGTACTTGTTCAAAATGCAAAAAACATAGAATCTAGCCCAACTAGCTTGATATTCCATTCCAACAGTGGCTACCAGTATGGTGGGAAGCCCACAAGTGAGACATGAGCAAAACAGCACCTTCCCACTTGTACTCCTCTAGAGTTGGTATTCACAGACATACTGACTTCTTTGGTACTGGAGGTCACATATAGTCCTTATGACTAGTGGCTGTTGATAAGCTGATCCTCCATGATCAACAGGTATGTTTAGCATTTTTTCTGAACACAGTCAATAGCAGTCCTTAGTTAAGTCTGGGCCTGTATCCAGTTATATCCTTGCAATAGCAGAGCTGCAGCATTAGCAGTTTATATTTTTAGGTTTAGAGCAAGTGTGGCAGACATTTTAGCACAAGTAGATTTATAACCGTGTGACAGTTTAATCTAGCACAACTATGCTACAAGACATTTTCACTGTATTAGCTTCATGCTGGTGCCAATACTTAATATTTGATTTACTCTTTTTTAAAAAAACAATCTCTATGTACCCCATTTAAACAGTGTTCCGTAAACTTCAGTATGCTTGCCTGTCATTAAAAAAACATGGGATACAAGACAAGAACTATTAAATAACAAATGTTCCCCCAAAACAGAAATTAAAAGTAGGTTTCTAACACGGCTTAAAGAATTTGCAACAACAAATCAGAATTTTCAACTTTATATGCCACAGACACAACAGTTCCAGCCTGTCTGCTGTTCTCCATTTTTTCCTTCTATTAGTTAATACAATTCTACGCACCTCATCATAACGATACATTAGTTTCAGTCCACGACAAGACTTCTGTTTTTCTACATGCCTTAGGGCACATTCGAGGCAGAAGACAACATTTTCATTTTCCTGTACAACCTGTAAACATTTGTTTTAAAAAAATGAACAAGCTACATATCATATAGTATTTCAATTATTCTAATAAAGGTTTATATGGTGGTCTCAATACAGGTCCAATCTTTGCTTCCTCATAGGTCTCAACTATTTAGATCTCACTTTCAAAATTTAAAGACTGAATAGTTTTGCTTTGTAAATCCAGACTATTGTTATTAATCTGAATATGGTAAAGTTAATAGCCACACAGAAGCAGCTGGATATTATTAGCTACTGTATATGGTTGATACAGCCTAAGTAATTTTAATCAAAATCTACTGAGCAATAAAAATAGAGTCAATATCTGTAATTTTAAACTGTTCTTCCAAGCAAAGAGGAGTCTCTTCATGCAAGAGCAGGTGTCAAAGAAATGTTGAGGGTATGTCTTTAAACTGCATTTGTCCTTGAGAAATCACACTTTTGAGAACTAGGAGTCATGATGCATAATAAGCAATTTAAAAAATGAATATTTTTTCTGTTTGTAACTGGTACACTTTAGCGACATCAATACTGACATAGCCTTTGCTCACATTGCCTATCATCTTTCGTAATATGTAATTTCAGGGAGATGACTGAGTACGTACATTCTAGGCCAAATAATGCAACTTTGTTCTGTAGCGATTCCATTCACCACTGCTCTCCAGGAGATTTCAACTTCTGTGTCATTGAAATATAGCCAGTATGTTAGCTAGAGCAGTGGTCCCCAACCTTGGACCCCCAGATGTTCTTGGACTTCAGCTCCCAGAAATCCTGGCCAGCAGAGGTGGTGGTGAAGGCTTCTGGGAGTTGTAGTCTAAGAATATCTGGAGGCCCAAGGTTGGGGACCACTGAGCTAGAGGCTACCCTCTAACTAGGGAGCACTGGAAATACGTTTGTAGGGAGAATTCCAGAATCTAGCAGCCTCTCTTACCATGGATAGGTAACACAGGTGCTGGCAAATCTGACAGCGCCTCTCAGACGTCTCTAACTGCCATTTCCGAGGCTTCTTCTTCCCATCCACTCCCAAACTGCTGCTATCGTGGCTCCCGTAGCGGGCCAAAGAATGGAGGCCTGCCTCGTAGAGTTGCCGCCGCTGCCTCAATTCTGTGTCCCTGTAAAACAAAGAAAAGTTAGAAACGAGACAGCACTCATAGAAGGCTCAGGAAGCTGCACCCAGCAGGCCTCATTTCAACATCTTATCGGAGGTTTTAATAACTTAACTGGTCGCTACCATTCAGTGTGCATGTTACAAGGAAGCAATGACACCTAAATGCCATCTAAGATTCTGTCCATGACCACTGTTAACAAAATCTGGCATTCTCTGGACAGAAACCATGAGATGTGGAATTCTTGGTGGAGGTCGCGTTGAAGCTGCTAGGAGAAGGCATACTATCAGGTAAACTGGGATACCACCAGGATAAATTAACATTTAGTTGAAGCATTTCTGCCAATGGAATACATTAGCCCATCCATTGTGCCAGGAAAGGATCCAACTGTAGGATATTCAAAGGGGAAATGGCACGACAGAATCTAAAGGAAGTTCACAATCCCTAGCAGTCCAACAGTTGGTGAGGTTGACCTGCTACACCATGTGCAAAGGGGACTAAGCAAAACATTCAGCAGAGAGGAGGAGGAAATGGAAACTCATATGCATTGCAGGCAGCATCGCATAGCAAGCAAAACAGTCAGGGCTCATCTAAAAAGAGCATTTTATTCCGCCACCCTTCTGTTGGCTGATGCCATTTAGTTCCTTCTGAGCACAGAGTTACCAGGGTTTCTGTTAATAAGTCTTCCAAAACCCCACTCATCTTTTTAGGAAACCAACCTTCTTCAAAAATAGTTAAAAGGATTTTTAAAACTTGTACAAATGCTTCAAAAATGATCTTCTCTTGTAGATTTTTGTTTCAGTGTTGTTGATTTCATAAGTCAGTGTTAAACTGAAAGATTCCAAAGGGAACTCTTGGCAATGGACATACACTCTTAATCTACTTCAGAAATATGCTGTCTAAGAACAACTATTTTAAAAATCTTGAGGAAGCTCTTCAAAAATTAATTGCTCTGCTGCATATTTGTTTTTTGCTGTTACTATGTAAGTCGATTAGCATTAAACTGAAAGGTTCTGCCTCAGGGTGGATAAAAAAATTGACGTTAAACCAATTTAAATCACAATTTAAATTTTAAAAATCAATTTTTAAAAATTTAAATAATAAAAAATCTGATTTTTAAAATTTAATTCGTGATTTTATTTCAAATCCACTCTGTCCCAATCCAAGAAGCTCTTGCTGTCTGAACCATGCCCTTGGCACAAAATGAAATACTATAGGAGGTGACTTTACAAGACCACAAAAGTCACTCTTTATCAATTTAAAATTAGTGTTATCTGGATGGTGGGAAAAGAACCACTGCCACAAACGCACAATCAGGTACATATAATGGAACAAACGCTCCATCTGGATAAGCCCTAAGTTGACATCAGCAGACAGTGAAACAAAAGCACTAAAACATCAGTCATCAGGAAGAGGGAAGTTTTGTAGTCTTCCTTATCAAGATGCCCAACTGATGGACTAGAAAACACTCTCCAGCCCCAGCCAACCTGGCCAATAGTCAGGGATGACAGGTGTTGTAGTCTAAAACATATGGAATACATCTGGCTGGGAAAGACTATTCCACAGGATCTCTCTTGGGAGAAACAGCGTACATTTGAACAAGCTTGAGAACTATTCAAAACAGGTGAACAAAAAACAAGCACAAATGGGGAAAAAACCTTCTCATCTGCAATCTTTCCTCCTTTCGAGGAAATATGCCTGTTGATGTGAAAACCAAACACAGACAAAGAGGCTCCAGTTGGAGAGCTCCAAATGGGCCTCACAAGTCTTCCACTTTGTGTGCAAACACACAGTGGAGACCTGTCAAACAGGCATCATTATCTGCAAATTAAGACATTAGCTTATTAAATACAATTTGTAGATTCCAGCCATCAGATTTTCTATGGATCTTGATCTATTCGGTGTGCTACCGATCAGCACTACCCCAGTCGTCTCACACTTGAACTGTGGGTAGCGAAGCTACATAGTAAGGGAACAAGAGAAAACAGTATTACATATGAAATATGGCACCTCTCTCTTCCTTTCAAACATATCTGTGGGTGGCAGCAACGGAAGAAACATTTAAAAATAGGTCCTTCAGTGTCACTAGGAAGTGCTTGTGGTTCTTTCATACTAAGGGCAGACTGAAATATCTGCTTCCTGGCTTAACTGGTGATTTCAAAAACAAGAAGGACCCTACATAAATCATATGGTGCCTCTTAAGTAGAAGTTTATAACCTTGGCAGATCAGCAGGCATGTTAGGAATGATTCCCGTTGTTGAAATGAAAAGCAAAAATGATGATACTTGGAAGGCAGAGGTCTTTGCTGTGACGCTCAGCACTTCAAGAGCAAACTAGGTATGGAACTTTCTTCTCCCATGTGTGGGTGTGTTCAAGAAGGCTGATGGGTTGGCTCATGGCACTCACTATACTTGCCCTTAAAGATATTTTCTTTGCAAAAACAAAAAACAAACAAAAACAAAAAACAAAAAAACCCTAGATAAAACAATACCAGTTTTGGTTACCTGAGCTCTCCTAGAAGTATTGATATTGTACTCAGAGCAGTTCCATTTTCTTTCTTTGCTTCTGCTGTTGCAATCTGATAAAGCAGTTTCTCCATTGAAAATGGCTTGGGTATATGTCGCCGCTTCATTTCCTACATTAAAACATCAACAACATAGTATCAGTTTTCCATTGATGTACAATCAAACATCGTTTTGGAAACGAAAGGGGGTAAAAACATACACTATGGGGACAAGATTTCCTGACAAAAATAAATCTGTGACTAGAGAAATATAAACAAAGACTTCCTCCTCAGCATGCCTTAGGTTAAACAGGGACACCACTTAAGAGCTTGAGAATTCAGAGTACACTATGCATAGAACACGCTTGCAGTCGTGGAGGTGTTCCTAAATATTTATCTTTCACTGGATCAGACTCAAAGCCCATCTGGTGACAGCTAACATTAGGTGTTTTTTCCTAGCACCACTAATCAGAAATTTATTCACAATCATGTTCCATTCAGTATCATGCTCAATGACTGGACTGAGCTAACCTCACTGGATTTGCTCATTCCTTTTAAAAGATAGCTATATTTTATGCAAATACATGTTTCCTTTGATATACAGTGGTGCCTCGCATAACAGGTGCCCCGTTTAACGATGAATCCGCATAGCTACGATGTTTTTGCAGTCGCTTTTGCGATTGCATAACGATGTTTCCTATGGGAAAAAATCGCTTTGCGATGATCGATAAGCTGTTTCGCTTACCAATTTTCGCATAGCGATGATTTTTCCCCAGCTGATCGGCGGTTCCAAAATGGCCACTGGGTAAAACAGGGATGGATTCATCGCTTACCGGGCAGCTAAAATGGTCGCTGTATGGAGGATTTTCGATTAAAAGGTAAGTTTTAAGCCCATAGGAAAGCACTGAAAGGGTTTCAATGCATTCCTATGGGCTTTTTTATTTCGCATAGTGATGAATCCGTATAGCGATGATTTTTGCTGCACGGATTATTGTCGCTATGCGGGGCACCACTTTATCCCAAAACTCCACCTCTGAGTGTTCCTAGGTTCTTTCCTGAGAGGAAGTTCTGCATGCACTCTCTCTACAATCTCCCCACAAGTATTTTTGTTATCCTGTTCTTAGTATTTTATCAAGCTTTTACCAACAACTTCCTCAATGTCTTAACTTGCCAGTAACCTTGTATCAGAAGTCCTCGACTGGGAGATAAAAACATTATACAATCATCATCATCTTAGAACTGTGAACCCTAAGGATTAACGAGTGTAGCCCCTGTCAAGGAGGCACAGTGGGGAATCAAACTCCCAACCTTTGGCTCAGCATCCAGATGTCTAAAGCACTGAGCTATCAGCAGTGCAGTATTCATTACAGTTTTTTAAACCTCCTAGCATTTTAAAATTTCCCGACCTCTGGGAAAAGAGCTGCTCCCTCCATTATGAGACATGGGAACAGCAACTATTTTCGGAATCATGGCCAAACAAACAAACAAAACCATTAGGGGGGGAGCAGGCTGCTCAGCAGAGTGGGCACACATGTACACACAATCCCCAGGGCTTGGTTCTGTAATACCACATGCATCATACATGAAAGAGGCCTGTTGATGCTTTTGGTTAAAATTTTCAGTACTGATCAAATTATGGGAGAAAGGGGTGTGTGGCCTGAGAGGGGAGCACTGAGTGAAATCCACAAGCCTTCTTGCCTGGCCTTCCTTAATTTTGGCAAAATCATTCCCCTTGCTTCCCTGTAGCCTTCTAGAGAAAGTAATTAAGAGGACCATGAGAGACCATAAGGAGGCCGGCCTAACATGTCTCCATCTGGACATCCATTAACAGTAGCAAAGAGAAGGTGAGTTGTTGACTGCATGGAAGTATAATTGGTTGGGGTGCACTTTAGTGAATGAAAAATGACAATATAAAAGATGTGTCCATGGAAAAATAACAGTTCACATTAGGATTAGTTTTGGGAATTTTGGCATTTCAGGTAGAAAGACTAAACTCAGGCAAAATTATCTGCATCACTTAGAGATTCTGTCCTCATGACTGTGTGTTAGTTTTTTTAGCTGCCTGACTGTCATTTCCACTTCTTCCCTCCAGCTCCCTTACTGCATCCAGAATGTAGGGACCTCTAGTCCCAACACTGGTTACAAATAAGATTGAGGTCCTTCTACCTACTGACCACTGAAGGATTAACCAGGACATAGCTGTCTATCCAACAGCTGCCGCTAAAAGTCACACACAGAAGGTGCTCCAGCAATCTCCATGCAATGTATTCGTGAAGGCTTTTTCGGCCGGGATCTAATGGTTGTTGTGGTTTTTTCGGGCTTTTTGGCCATGTTCTGAAGGTTGTTCTTAGGAAGAACAACCTTCAGAACACAGCCAAAGAGCCCGAAAAACCCACAACAACCAATCTCCATGCATTTTCATGGAGGCTGTATGTGGTACAGCACACCATGCAATCAATGAAGCCAATCTTGACCATTAATAGACAAATTCTAAGAAGGAAAAAAGTTAAATACCTAGGAATTCAAATTACAAAAAAACAAGTTCTTTGATAAAAGGCAACTACATCAAACTGATTGGTATGATTGAAAAAGATCTGGAAAAATGATCAAAATTTAATTATCATTCATGGAGAGAATTGCAGCTGTAAAGATGAATGTACTACCTAAAATATTTCTTTTTCAGACAATACCAGTCCTTACAAGACAATTAATACTTCAAGAACTTACAAAAAAATAATCAAGTTTGTCTAGCAAGGGAAAAAACCCAGAATAAACATCAAAGCACTTCAAGACGTGCAAAAAAGAGCAGGCTTTGGACTTCCAGAATGATTTTTTATTATAAAGCCTGTGCTCTAGTCTGGTTAAAGGAATGGATAGTTTTAGAAAATGACAGAATACTGAATCTAGAAGGACATGATTTAGACCTAGGATGGCATGCCTTCCTATGGTATCAAAAAGCAAAGGACAATAAACAATTTAAGAATAATTTGATAAGGAAAAGCTTTGAACTGGGAAGATCCAGGAGAAAATTACCAAAAAGTTTCTGAATGGGTCTCACCAATGGAAGCATTCACACAAGCAACATTAATGGAAAAGAAGAAACTCTTGAGATACAGATATTTGTTAAAGGAGGACTTAAGTACGAAATCAAGGAAAGAATTAGAAGAACAAGGTATAATACTTGATTGGTGGACAAAAGCACAAATAAATTCAAGGTATACAAGAGATAAAACAATGGGCTTTTGTAAGGAACAGACACCATTAGATAAGGTACTTCTGAATGTAAAGAAAAAACTGATCAAAATGTTGTATAATTATCTACCAGAATTACAAATGCAAGAAGTTAAAGAATGTATGATAAAATGAGCCCAAAATATGGGCCGCAATATTAATTTGAAGTAATGTACACAAATATGGGAAGATAATATTAAATTAACAAAAGCAGTTAATTATAAAGAAAGTATATGTAAGATGTTCTATAGATGGTATATGGCACCTGTAAAATTATCGAAAATACATCAAAGTTCTAACAAATGTTGGAAATACAAATTAAAAGAAGGTAATTTTTATCGTATGTGGTGGACTTGTAGGGAAGTTAAGAGCTTTTGGAAACTAGTCCATGAGATCTCACAAAAATGTCATCCTCTATAATTCCATATGAACCTGAACTGTTTTGTTTAATATAATACCAAATTCAATAGAAAAAAGAAAAAAAAAAGATATTTGACCATGCATGTATCTACAGCAGCAAGAATTTTATACGCCAAATACTGGAAAAAAGAAGAGACTTCAGGAGTTAATAGAAAATTGTTTCGAAGCAGCAGAGATTGATATTTTTACTGAAGTATTAAAATACAAAGAAATTGTTGAGGGTAGAAAAAAATATGGGTACCTTTGTATAATTGGATGAGAGATGAGAACATGAATGGGTTAAAATGATAAGAAAGAAGAGGTAAGATATACTTGTAGATCTTAAAGACTTAGAAAAAATTGGCAAGATTAGTGTGAAGTAAGCTTAGTATGAAAACATATCGGTAAAAGTAAAAAGATATATATTGTTCTCTACCACACTGTGTATTTTTTTATTTACCCTGTGCTTTTTTTATTTACCCTGTACCTTGTTTCAAATCTCTTTCCCTATGATCTTCCCTGACCCAATGAAAATGTTTTAAAGGGCAGTGTTTTAAAGAAAATTCTCAAAATATACACACATACTCCTCCTACCTTGGCAGTTTTAAAACCCATGCTTGTCCACTGGGTGGTAGCAAAGTGCACAGTTTCAGAGACGTTGTAGCCACAGCACACTTTAGACACAAAAGATCCCGGGAAGCAGACAATGAACTGCCCGCTCTGTTGTACAGTACGGTGCACCTTGATCCCCTCTTTGCACAACACCTCTGGGGAGATCTAAGAAGAGAAAGAAAAAAAAAAACCAGAGTGGGCACTTTTTCATAACCCATATTATGTGTCCTCTCTTTCACCACTTGCTGGACTACAGAGAAAATGCATGAGAAGATCCGTTTTTTAAAAATTGTTCAACATGAATTAAATGAAACCCCAGAGCAGAGAGTTTAATGTGAAATTTTACATCTGATTTAAAAAACAATTATGAACCTTGAGAGCAGGGAAGCCTGTGGTGTGTGGCATGTTCATATGCGTCATACAAGCCACCCTGTTAGAAATGCAAACTATCCAGAAAGACTGAAACCATGCAGGGGAAGGACTCGTCTCCCACCTCCAGAATAAAAAGTGGATTCATAGAAAAAAAATATATGCAACATTTACTTTGTAGTCAAACCTATTCTTATTTTACTATATAAAACTGTAATACTTGGCATATTTGTGAAATTTACAGAGTAAATCTATGTATTTCCTTTAAAAATGTAAGCCACTGGAAATTTTTTAACCTCTCAAGAATAGTTTACATAAAAGAATCCCGTCCACGTTTACTCAAAAGTAAGACCCACTTTGTCTAGTGGAGCTGTCTCCCAAGGAAGCCTGCATGGGATCACGACCTCAAAAGTGCAAATGTTTCATTCATTCATTCATTCATTCATTCATTCATTCATTCATTCATTCATTCATTCATTCATTCATTCATTCATTCACTGCTTTTCTCCCAAAACTGGTAACATAGCTTACAATATGTATTTTAAACCAAAACACTTGGGAACTTTTAAAATGAAATACTCATAACTGTTTATTGAAAAATGAAAACCAGCACATCTGCTAAAACCTCTGTGCTTAGAAGGCTGTTTATTTACTGAATGCCTGCCTAAAGATAAAAGTCCTTTGCCTGCCAGCTGAAAGGCAGCATGGAGGGAGCAATCCTAGCCACAGAGCCTATATGAGCTGCCACAGAGAAGGTCCCCTCTCAAGTCTGTGCTAAATGGGCCTTATGAAGCTGGTGCGACCACACAGAGGGCCTCTCCAAGACATCTCAAAGCCCTGGCAGGCCAGCACAGAAGAATACAATCTTCCAAATAGCCTGGATGTAAATGTATGAGGCTTTATAGGTCATCATAAGCACTCTGAATTAAGTTCAGAAACAGGCTGGTAGCCAGTGAAGTTACTGTAAGAATGGACTTGTATGTTCCCTGTAACTGGCTGCACTGTTTTGTACCAGATGAAATTCTGGAACACTCTTCAAGGGTAGCCCATGGAAAGCATGTTATGGTACTCCAATTGGGACATAACTAAGGCACATGTCACGGCAGCCAAGTCAGACACCTCCAGAAATGAGTGCTGTTGGAGCAACAGTTTTAACTGAGGAAACACGCTCCTGACCACGGCCAAGTCCCGAACATCCAGAGAGAGATGCTTCCAAGGAGTACATACACCTAAGCTGCAAACTTGAGTTTTCAAGCGGCATTTAATTCTGTCCAGCACAGGTTGTATCCATATTCCCTGATGTGTCTTTTGACTAATCAGGAACACCTCCGTCTTCAGCTTTGATTTGTTTACCCTCAGTTCAGTCCACTATTGACTCCAGCCACTGTTTTAGGACCAAAACACTTTCTTCAGATTCAGATGGAGAGACAGAGCTCTGCCTTAGCAAATATGCAAATATTCTCAGTACCAGATAGACAGATCTGCAAGCTGGGTGCCTCTGCTACTTATGAAATAGGTTTCAAATAAAAGTTGAAAGCAGAAACTACATATTTTACAGGAAACAAGAGAAAGTGTATTTAAATGCTGCCAGTCTTAGCTTCAATAATATATTATCATTTTCCAACGCTACAGATCAACATGTGTGAATCCTCCGGGTGTTTGCACAAGGCACCTGTAACTTCTGAGGGTAACTGAAAAGGTGCCAACGTGCATCTTAGTTCCACAATCATGCACATGACCAGGCAAACAGCTAAAATACACCACGGCATGTTGTCAGTTAGCTGCGATTAGCAGTAGCAAGTTGTACAAATCTTATGCAGACACCAATAGTATTCTGGCCAATCTCTGGTGCTCTCCAAAGGTTCTGTAGCACAGCTTCCTTCAGCTCCAGCCAACATAGTCAACAATCAGGAATAATGAGATGTCATGATCCATAATATATGTGACAGGGCTGAGTCCAACACCAGACATCCATTTCCACAAGAGCAGAATCCAATATAAGGGGGCAGGGTTTTCCTTGTTTCTTTGCTGCAATCTCCAGAACATCCCTCTCACTCAGCTCTCCAGTGAGGTATTTCTTTCTTTCTTTTTTTCTTTTCTTTCTCCAAAAACCACAAAAAGTCCTTTGGAAAAACTCAAACAAACATGTTTTCCTCCCAAATTAGCTGGTCTCCATCAGCCATGCCAGACCTTCAACTTTTGTAGACGAAGCATTTTTAAAAACAACCATCACCAAGGCTGTCATGTGCCAGGATGGCTCCCCCCATCAGGGATGAACTGCATCAGGGTGTGTGTGCTTTATCTCTGCAGCGACTGTATCCCTGTAGGACAGGGGTGAGCAATTAATTTCTATAGGGGGGGGGCACAAAAAATCCACTGTGTTCGGGGGCCAAACCAACTTTACTTAAAAATAAAATGAAACAGTGATGTTATGCTTGTTTTTATTTTAAACTTGTTAATCTTTACAAATACTAAAGAGATTTTTTTTTGCGGTATGTTAAAGATAAGCAATTGATCAACTTTAGACAAAAAGCTATAAATGGTTTTGATGTTCAACTTGTTCAGTGAGAGAAATCTGGCCTGTCTTGGGCTTGAACAAGTGCTTGAACACCGGACTGGAGCAACGACCAGTGGGCCGAACAGGAGCAGCCCTTGGACCGTACTTTGCTCAGGTCTGCTGTAGGGGCTCTGCTCCACCTCTTAGGGAGGGGAGAGGCAGTGGAAGAATGATGAATTACACAGCCAGTGCTTCTAAAACTTGGACTCAACCATTTCCTAGATGCACCTGCTGAACACGTGGACAGCCTTCTTTCTTCTGTTGTCTTTTCCTCCTGCAGGGAGTGAAGCTATCTGATACTTCCCATCATCAGCCGAGCCTCAGCCTTGCCATTTAGCTGACTCCTGGAAGCTGAATATGAGGAGTCAACTTTGCATGCCAACCTGTTATCCAGTTTGGGATGGCAGTGGATGAAAACCTCTGCTCTGTTGTGACCCATTTTCTTATTACTGATACCTTGCTAGGATTCCTCTCCACACTAGCATCCAGGGGCAGGGGGTTTGGGGGCAGGTGTTAAGGAAGTGAAGGACAGGAACAAGAAACTAAATATTCAGCAAGGACGAGGAAACAAAATTATTCAGCCAGGCAGAAGAAACAATAGGCTTAGTCAGGGTCTCGGTGGCCTGGATGGAGAAATCTATGGGAGCTCCACCTCTAGACTCCATTCTGGCAATAGCTCTCTAGGGTTTCAGGTGTTGCTTTTTCCCAGCACTATCTGACGATGTCAAGGACTGAACCTGGGACCTCCTGCACACAAAGCTCATTGTGCTCTACCGCAGAACTGTTTGCAACAGAGTTTATGGCTGTGGCTGTGTCTTGTCAATTCCCAAATGCAGAACAGGATAATAGCAAATCAAGAAGAGGTTGTGTAGAAATGAGAGAAATGTTTAAGGCCTTCAAATCCTTTCTTCTTTTCTTCTGCACTGGCTGCATGGGATGGGGAGTATAAGGAAATGCTTCCCCTCCTTTGCTTTTATTTTAAATCTTCATTTTGCAACATCCGTCTAAGCCATTAGTATACCGCATAGTTGCTACACGACAAGGCTCCCATTTATTTAAACAACCCAAGGTCTTGATATGCATGCCTACTGTGTGCTAATATTAGTGCTTCCATTTTAATAGCTAGCACTGTATTTGCTTACACAACGTAATGTATGGCTGGTCGTGCAATCACAAAAAGAAATGGCCTCAGATTCCCTTAGAAACAAACCATAAAGCAACTCACCATGACATTACTTTCAAGCATTTCCAGCCCTGGAGTGCCATTGGCTTGCAGCAAGGTATGTACCACTTTATCAAGTTTTTTCTCCTCTGCAGCAGGAATGGAATACCTATTTATTTTTGCCCCAGAAAAAGGAAAGAAAAAGAATATTTATTTTTGACTGAACAGCACAACAAAGAGAGCCACAGCAGCTGCCCAAATCTCTACCTCCAAACCTGACAAGAAACACAAAATGTTAAAAACTAACCCCACCCCTTCCCCTGCTGTCTTGTTCAGGAAAGACCCCTTGGCTTAAATTAAGATGTACAGTGTTTGCAAATTTTAAAACAACCAAGTTTTGAAATAATTCAATAATGAAATAAGTAACAATTCACTGCGCTTACTAGGCCTTCTAATATTTTACTAAACACAGGAGCATTACATTTTTTGCCATCTTTACAACACACCTCCCTTCTGTGTTTCTGTATAACACAGAAAGAAGTTGATGATGGTGCTTAAATTAAGGATGTTCGTTTAAAAAATGGGGAACACTTCTCTCTTCTCTTCCTTTCTTCTACTGCATCCAGTTATCATTGTACGACTGTGCAAGACTCGGGGAATGCTTCTCATTTGCAGAGTGACAACATAACGCAATCAATTCCCACACCATCTTTAATGCCACTCACCCACCTTCAACCATCTCCAGACCTCTAGATGTCAGTTGTAAGAGCACATGTGCATGTGTGAACCCCATCCATCCACATTAGAAAGTTACCATGGCAGGATGTTGGGATCTAAGTCATTAGGTACAGCAGGGGTGGGGAGAGATGTAGGCCTCCAAGCAGGAGAAGTTCTATCATCCCATCAAATGGGCCAATGGGAATTACAGTTCAACCCTTTCCGGAACAACACATGCTCCTGCATTCTCTGCTATACCAGAAACTCTGCATAAACAGAACAGTCACAGGTTTGTAAGGGATCTTGAGCCTACAGAGTATGTTGAATTTCTATTACAGAAAGATTGTAATTAACCTACTTGCCATGTTAGGTGTAGTGTGACAAGTACTACTTTATATTTTTCTTGGGCACTTAAAATCATATTGTTGGAGTCAAGTTGTATCCAAACTCAAAATTTAACCTGCGTATATTACCAAATGCCTACCAGCCTGCCTGTGTGCCAAATTCTTGAGCACCAAGGCTGTTCCTCATATAGGTGGTAACCAGGGGAAATGCTCTCTCTCTCTCTCTCTCTTTTGCCAACAGTGTCAGTATTATGGAATGGATTCTCTACAGAAGCTTGCTTGGCACCCACATCATAATCTTTTTTAGCACAACATGAAAGCACTATTTAGCATCACTGAGGCATTTTAAGTATTAAGGGTTTAATTTATTTTATTATTACTATGTTTAAGATATAATAAGTCATTGTACACTACAATGGAGAGCAGTGTTGAAAGTCTTTCCATAATCAATCAATCACAAACTTTTTGGGAAAGATCATATTCAAGTGGCGCAAAGGAGGCATCCGGAAAAGTGGGTTATATCCTGCTAACTAGCCAACAAAGGCAAGACAATCACAGAATCACAGAATAAAGGAGAGCTGGAAGGGGCCTGTAAGGCCATTGAATCCAACCCTCTGCTCAATGCAGAAATCCAAATCAAAGCAGATCTGGCAGATGGTTGTCCAATTTTTTTAACGCCTCCAGCTACGGAGCACTCACCACCTCCTGAGGTAACTGGTTCCACTGTCATATTGCTTGAACAGTTAAAGACGTTTTCCCTCATATTCAGCCTTAATCTAGCTTCCTGTAACTTGAGCGCAGTATTAAGTGTCCTGGTTTCTGGGATGAGCGAGACCCCTTTGCTGTATATCTTTCAAGTACTGTATTTGAAAAGTGGTGTCATATCTCTCCCCAGTCTTTTCTCAATGCTAATCGTGCTCAGTTCTTTCAATCTTTCCTCATAGGGCTAGATTGTTTCCAGTTCCCTGATCATCCTTGTTGCCCTCTGAATAATTAATCAATGTTTCTGAAAAGATGCCCTCAAGCTCCACTCCTGATTTTGTCCATAGTACAAGAGAGACTATGATGTTAGGTTTCAAAGCAAGTAAAAGGAGAAGTAGGTTGTTGTATGAAGCACTAGGTGCAACCCTTTGGGATCCCATTAGCCACCATTAGGGTGCGGCAGATGCCTCCTTCACCATTACTAGAAAAAGCCAGATCTCCACAGGAAGTTCCAGTATTGCATTCTCTGAGTAGTGCCCAAAGAAGAGTGGCAGCCGCCCAAACTAGTCCTTCATGAAAGGCACTCTGTGACTCATGCTATTAGTCATGAACGAGTATCAACTGGAGGAGTTGCCTGTCAAAGGCTGCACTAGCTCAGCTGAAAGAGCCAAGCCTATAGCACTGGTGAATGTGCTCGTCTTAGCTTAATTGCAGCTCTGCATACTTCTGTGAAAGAATTACAGTGGTGCCTCACTTTACGATTGCCCCGCATTACGACAAATGCGCTTTGCGACGATCTTTTTGCAATCGCAATTGTGATTGCAAAACGATGGTCTAAATGGGGGAATTTCACTTTGCGATGATCGGTTCCCTGCTTCAGGAACCGATTCTTCGCAAAACAATGTTTTTGAAGCAGCTGATTGGCGGTTTCAAAATGGCCAGTGGGTAATTAAAATGGCTCCCCGCTGTGTTTAGGGACGGATTCCTCACTATACAGGCAGCGAAAATGGCCGCCGTATGGAGGATCTTCGCTAGACGGTGAGTTTTTACCCCAGTGGAACGCACTGAATGGGTTTCAATGCGTTTCAATGGGGTTTTTATTTTCGCTTTATGATGTTTTCGCTTAACGGCGATTTTCCTGGAACGGATTATCATCGTTAAGCAAGGCACCACTGTATTTGTAAAACAAATACACAACTTGGTTGCCAATCTGATGCAGCAAATTATTATATGCCTTGACATCAAAATGCCTGCCAAATTGTAGCCAAGGAGATGCCTGCAACCCAGCAAACTAAGATGTATTTGGAAGACCTTTCTGGTTACAGATGTGGGTGAAAGGAAAACAAAGAGTGGGTCAAAGTGGGTCAGCACCCTTGTTCTTTTCATATAAGTCTTAGGCGCACTAAGGGATGGATTAGGGTAGAAAGAGCACCACCACATAAGACCTACAGAATGCCATTCTGATACTTTGGATGAAAAACTACTTCTAGGAGAAATGTGACTGCATCCCTGTCAAAATAGCATAGGTGATCCTTTATGGACAAGGAATCCTGCATCAATACCCTCCTGGACAACAAGGATATGTCAAATGAGATGAGTCTAAAAAGCACTGGAACGCAGTGCTTTTATAAGTATTATGGGGCTGACTGGATAGTTCAGTGGGTTTTTCAGGTATCTGACTGCGGAGCCAGAGGATGAGAGTTCAATTCCCCACTGTGCCTCGTGGGAGAAGAGCCAGCCTGTGTGGGCTTGGGCTAGCAGTCCCGAGTTATCTCCAGAAGAAGGGAATAGTAAACCACTTTTGAGTACTCTCTATCTAGGAAATCCTGAAAACGGTTGCCATAAGTCAGAATTGGCTTGATGGCACATGATGATGATGATGATGATGATGATGATGATGATGATGATGATGATGATGATGATGATGATGATGATGATGATGATTGAGTACTATGGGAACCATATGAAGTTTCCCAGAAGGGAATCTAGAGATCTCTTAGAGAAAAGGGCAAAGTTACTACCTGGAGGAATAACTTAATGTGAGGGTGAAGTGCTAACAATTGGTCAGGTTTTGAAATTACTGTTGGTTAAGGATCAAGGTTGTCCCCTTAAAGTGCCAGGCTCAAGGCCTGTATCCATACCTGCTTGGAGGAAGGAGGAAAGGTCCTTAACATTCACTTTTGTCATGACTATGGGCTTATGTCTGCAACATCTGGGGAACACTTTCCACCTGGGACACTAAATGTGCTTCCTGGAAGGCTGGTATGAAAGAGGGCTGCTTCCATGAGATCACTCCAGAACAGGAGTGTGTTCTGCTTAGATTCTACACTGCTAATGTAATTCAACCCAGCTTAGGGTACATACATGGGCCTAGGAAAATGCCTGTTGGCCCCTTCTCTCCAGTCCTTCATGTTGATTCTTATACGCTCTCCAAGGCATCATCTACAGCGGTGGTCCTCAACCTTGGGCTTCCAGATGTTCTTGGACTACAACTCCCAGAAGCCTTCAACACCACCTCTGCTGACCAGGACTTCTGGGAGCTGAAGTCCAAGAACATCTGGAGGTCCAAGGTTGGGGACCAATGATCTACAGAGTCCAGGTGAGCAATGAAAACCTGGAAGCCACCTTTAGGATCAGTCACCAAGCTGCTACCACTCAGTTGCTACAGTGTCAGACTTGGTCTGTCACAGATTTCCAATTGCCAATGGCAAGGGCAGTGGGGTTCTGAGGCATCTCGGACATGCTCAGGGAGGATGCAGTGCTGCTGGGTCCTTCCAAAGCCATCTGCAGTCTGACAAATAACTTGCAAACTCTTCTGTTTGTTTTCTGCAAAAAGCTTAGACTTGCAAA